GAATGGCGGTTGTTGTTGTTGTTATAGAGGCAAGATTTGGTGGATCACAAAGAGGAAATTCACCGAGCTGAGAGAGGGCAGTTACAACCGACCAGCAAGCGGGTTTGCAAACCCATCTGTGTGGACCTTTCACAGCATTGTGCTGCAGCACAGGCGGTGGTGGGGGGGGGGGGGGGTTTCTCTGGGCAATGCGATCTCCTCTCACAAGCAAAGCACGCCTTAAAAAAAGGAAATGGACAAACCATCCCAATGCAGGACCCTCCTGAAAAGAGAATATTGCGAGAGTGAGGCTTTGTTGTATAAATAAACCACCCCTTATTCAAGTCCAGGCTCGATACCTTCAATTTTTTTCCCCCATGCCTTTGACTGCCACTTTTCTCTGTAACCTAACAATGTCCACTGGTTTCTCCGGTCTCTTGAGATGCAGTGGGCATTGAGATGTTATATAAATTCAAATTGTAGAGTAAATATATTACATTATGTTGCAGCACTCTCTCTCTCTCGATGACTTGGCAAACAGTACTATGCCTGCCAGTCACAAAGCGCAACAACAAAAAACTGGCATCAGTTCCAAGTTCAAAATGCTAAGCCTGTTGACTCGATTTTAACCACAAACTGACCAAGCGAGAGCGTTCCAAAAAACTCAAGGAAAAAAAAAAAAACCACCGGGGCTTGCGAATCTAACATCCACAAAAATACTGTGTACCGTGTGTGGTTCCACACATAAACAGAACGGCGCACCACACAATGACTCACGAAATCTTCTGGGAGCGCCGGCAAGTGAGTACATGGGGGCCCGGCAGAGCGAGCGCTATTTCTCCTGCATGTATAATTTAAATCGAGCGGCGGGGGTGGGACATTCTCACGTCGACAGCTGCGAGCCCATGCTGCTAGCACCTGCCTCCGCCGAGGCGTTTGAGACCACTGGGACCACAACTAGCCACATGCCCCCCTACCCCCACGTCTTCTTTCATTCATTCACTCATTCACCGATGGAAAACCATTCATCCACGCCATGTACTTGTCGACAATGCTAATGGTGGGGGCTTTTTTTTGTTGCAGTATAGGACGCTTAACAACATCATACAAAAACACAAATAACGGGACAAACAGCGTGGTGCGGGTTACCCGCACAGCGAGAAGAAGACCCTCATTAAGCAGGGGAGTCGAGGCTGTACATGGGAATCTAAATGTCGACTTGAACAAACAACAGTAGCTGTCAACGCATACGGTTTACCCATATTCTGCACAGGGAAAATTGAGATTTCAGGTCCATGTGGCGTACAGACGTTTTAATACTGGCAAACATTTGTTTTGCCTATTTGTTTGTGTTTCTCCCTTGTGATGGTGACTTTGTCGGATGAACGTTGAGATGTATAAGGGGCACGGGGGTGACCAATAAGGTCTGAATTGGTCTGAAATAAGGTAGGGCACTGATAAGGGGTTGACAGGTATGAACATGAAAATCAAATTGTAACCCAATGATAATCACAATAATAAGCGCATTTGGTATTTGCCTCAATTGATACGGCACCCAATGAAGTAAATTACTGCATTTGTGGCTAATGTTTACATTCGGGCATATTTGGACCCAGGGCACACGTGGGGCCTAACCTCTTCTTATTCGAATGACATCGCGGGATGTGCGCCGCCCACCAGAGAAGCGGAGGGGCCGCGCAGTATTCGTGACGGAATAACAAACGGGCGGGGAGGGGGGGGTAATATATTATAATCCGCGGAGTGAATCGCTCTCTCGTGGCTCCCCCACCCACGCCTACCGCTTCTGCAGAGCGAGGCACTGTATCGTGGCGCAGGAAGCTATTCTTGGCAGTAAAAGTTGCTCGATGCAAGCGGCGGCGGCGGTGGTGGTGGCGACACACGCCGTGTGTGCCCTCTGGAATGCGAGAGTCTCCTGGGCCGCACGGCACTCGGCACGCCCAGACACCAGAATTAGCAGCACTGTACCCGAGCGGTGCTTACTCCACCACGCCATGCCAAGCGCAAGTCACACTCTTGACTCGCGGAGAGAGGCTAGTGTGTGCGTGTGCATTTGGGGGGGGGCGGTAGTGTAGTGGTTAGAGTGCTGCCCGACGAACCCTGCGGCCTAAGTTCGATTCCCGCTCACGGCCAACACCAGTGACGATTATCTGAAGCGGTCCTGGGGCCTCCCCTAGGTCGACTCGGCCTCAAATGAGTACCTGGTGTGGTGTGTAAACACCGCCACTGGAAGACAAAGGCGGCCCGGCGTGGTGTTGGCCACCCACCCCCTCTCGTGTGCCGTGCCGGCCCTCAGGTGCTCGCCAAACGCACTTGCCCCAAAAGTCTGTTCAGGCTATAACAGGGGATCTGTCTTTGTACTTATTTTCAGGCCGAGTCGCCCTAGGGGAGGGCCAGGATCAGTTTCGATAATCGCCACCAATGTGTGCGGATGGAACGGAACTGGGCTACAAAAAAACTGGAAGCCCGAATTTTGATTCCCGGCCGTGGCTAACATCAGTATTGATTATTTAAACCAGTCCTAGGCCTGCCTCCTCTAAAGTCGACTGAACCTCAAATGAGTACCTGGGTGCGGTGTGTTTGTGTAAACATCAGCAATGGGGAGACAAAAGTGGCCGGTGTAACGTTGACCACACCATCCCCCCCCCACTCCTGTGGGCGCCATGCCAGCCTTAACCACTTTGCTCGCTGCCAGCCCCAAAAGCCTGAAATGGGCGATGGAGGGAAGGGCTTTGTCTTTGTGTCTTTACGGCATGTCTTCATACTGCTGCCATCCCATAAAACCAACAATAAGACAAAATTCAAACAGCCACGGTGCGAGGTTAAACACGACAGTTTTGGCAGTCGTGGAGACTTATCCGTCAAAGGTTGGTGATGTAATGCATCCTACACGTTGCCACTCACTGCCTCGCTCTTCACATAACTGATCGGTTGCTTATGTAGAAAAAAAAAATAAACTCTTAAATTGTCAACTTCCCTTGATTCATGTCGTCGTTGAGGAGAATAATGAAGTGTGGATGTGTGTGTGGCGCAGTTGAACGAGTGCCGGTATGAAAGCCAGGGCTGCTTTGTTTCACGAAAGAAAAAGATTACATCTAACCGCAAACACGAGATGCTATTTTGGTTGCTGCAAAAGAGCAACGTAAATCTTGCAAATGTTGCAGATTTACTCTCCAACACACCACCAGTGTGCTGTACTAGCAACGTATTGGCAATGTCTGTTTACGTGACAAACCCTGACTAATTGGTTGTGTCGCGTGGTGGCGGATTTAACAACATATTTATATTTACGTGATCTTACCCAAAAAAACTCTATTATGAACGTAAAACTTGATTTTCTTTCTTTTTTGCAAAGATACATCACCAAACAGTCATCTCAACAAGACCCCAAATGCGCTTACTTCCGGACAAAAAAAACATAAAACCTTGGGCACAACTGCATGAACACTGCCACCTAATTAAATGTGGAAAATTAACGCCCCACTCCCGACGTTTCCACAATGATGGCGATTGCCGCACTGTTTGCCGCTTTAAGCTGACTACTACGACTCGTGCTGTACGTTTTAACCCCCACAGAGAGGCACGGGGAGTGGGGTGAAGAGAGAGAGAGGCCACGGGGGAGCAAGGGAACGTGGCGGTTGGGGCAGGGGAAAAGAAGGAAGAACGCTTCAAATCCAGACTCGAAGTCATTAGTGTGCAATGATGAGCGATGGGATCGACTAACGATGAGCAGCTTGTGGCAACGAATTGTCAGGCGATTGAAAGCCAAAGCTACAGTGGTAACACGGCCCCACTGGCCCGGCTACCGAAGCTCATTCATCTTCATTTAAAGCCACAATTAATGGGGCCTGACTGATTTACACGTGCTACTCTTTACGCAAATGTGCACGTCCGGCAGATGCCTTGCGCACAACATCGAACGCATCGCAGGAACCCACAGGTGCCGAGGCGAAGCCGCCGAAAATAAAATGTGGCATTAAGGTGACGGGGAAATTCATAAATGCGAATTATCAAATGAAAGGCTAGCGCTTTTTTATTTGACACAATCGATGACGAGTCGAAAGATTTTGGCGCCCATTTTAACCAGGCCCACCAAATCATCTCAAATTTCCACTTAACCCAAGTCACGCGCGAGCGAATGTGTTTACAATAGAGGCAAACACATACGGTACATCATGCATTACACACACACACAGCAGGCTATACAACGCGCCGTGAGTGGGGGAGATTCTGCTGCAAGTTATGGGATTTTCCTTTCACAATCAGCATTAAGTGTCTCGGCTTATTGTGGATAAAGACTGGGTTTCCATAGCCTGTTGTGGTCAACTCTTACGGACCAGGCTTAGGCGTTACAGCAAGTGCTTTGGAAGGTCATGCTTTTAGGGTCACATCTAGGAATGGCGTTAAGGTCATATTTAAGTAGTCAAGAAATAGAGCAATATGGTTTCCCAGCAGAAGCAATAACAGGAGCAGCTGCAGCAGCAACAACATCAGTGCAGTATTAACAGTAGCTTGTTCTTTTAACAGCCGCAGAGGCAGCTGTACCTAGATTAGAACTTCGCTACAAATATTAACCTGACCCCGCAGTGGCAGCAACAACAGAAGCCACAGCAGCAATAGATGCAGCAGTCAAAGCAGTAGCAATATAAACACAAGAGACAGGAGCAGGATTTATAGCAGCAGCAGCAGCAGCGGCGGCTATACCTACTGTACAGCTGACCTTTATCCCAAGCCTAGACCCTACCCCACATCAGGAACACCAGATGCTGCTGCAGCAGCTGCAACAGGCAACAGTATCCACAGCAGTAGCAGTCCTAACACAGCAGCAGATTTGGCAGCAGCTGTACCTGCAGCTGCTGTAGGTATGCAGCAGCAGCAGCCGCCGCCACAGTTGCAGCAGCAGCAGCAGCACACTCATAACTCTTGAGCCCAACGCTCATAAAACCAGCACGGTGCGACCCAAGAACCACGGCGCAAAAACGACCGGAGATGGAATCACTCACCCTTCGCTTGTTGGCAGCCGCTTCGTCAATCGCGGTGGCATCCTTGGGCACAGCGGTGGCCCCCGAGAGCGCGGCCCCCTTGTCCGTCAACCTCCCCGGCGAGGGCTTGATGGTGATCTTGATGGCAGGCCGGCAGATGTAGTTCTCCAGACTCTTGGGCGGCTTCTTGGCACGTTTGGCGGTGGTCTGGATCTTTAGCCGGAGGCCACCGCCACCACCACCGTTGCCGAGGGTGGAATCCCTGATGGAAAATCCGGCCGCCTCCCCCGAGTCGGGGTCGCGTCCAGGTTCACCACCGCCGTGCCCGTCAGCGTCCAGCCTCTCACTGGATTCAGGAGGCTCCACGCTGCCCGAGTCGCCTCCGCCACCACCGCCGCCGCCACCGCCACCACCACACGGTGAGGCCGTCTCGGTGGCGGTGCCAAATTTATCCGGAGGAGGACTCACTGGCCGATCCATTTGAAAGCAATAAGAGTACTAGGGGTAACAGCAGAGAGGTGTTTTAACGAAGGAATGCGTGGCGGGAGGGTGAGGAGTTTGCGAGTGAGCAGGGAGAGACGGACTGCCCAGCCACTGCCCCCCAGGGCAGGGCGAGCTGGGAGGGGGTCAGGGCCGACTTCGCGGTGCGGTCCCCTCTCTCTCGGTCGCCCCTCACCGCTGTCCCCTGCCCGCTCTCTGGTAGTGCGTGCGGGTCTCAGGCCCGCCGAGTCACCGGCCGCAATCCGAGAAGACGCGTGGACTTGCCTTGATGAGATGACGAGCAAAAATACAGAAACCACGTACACACATACAGGCATTAAACACATGCAGATAACACACGTACAATAACAAAGACACATACACACCCACATACATAAAGATACAAGCACACATACAAAAGAACAAACACAAACATACATACAGACACAAACACACAAATACAGACCCTCACAAGCACACACACACACAGCCACAAATACACAAGCGCACAAAGAAGCACACAAGGGACACATCGACAAATATAGATACGCACAAAAGTACACACATGCAGACTCACACAGACTCGATTTAAATAAGTCCAATACAAAGCATGTATATGTCCATTCATTGCTTGACCTCCACAGCATTATAACAATAACAATGTCCTTTGTTTATCCAGGAAGGCCTCACTGGCACTGTTTACATGAAATAAAATACACCGGTTAAGTGCAATCCTGTTGACCAGAAGGTTTAAGCAAGGGCCAACCCTCGTTGAGAAGGGTTATAATTTGCAATTCCCCATAAAGAATCTTGAGATGCTGTTGTGTTTGGGAGGCTGAAAAAAGAAATTATTGTTATTGCCGTTTTGGGAACGACCACAAATTTGTTGCAATTCACGCACCCAAAAAAAAACACCTCTAGTGCGAAACGGCGGGTTTTTGCTGCCGATTTCCAGGAGAGAGACCTGGCTCACGATGCTTGGTCAATAACTCAATGAGCATGTTCTGCAACGTGAGGAGCAATTTGAGTGTTTGAGCAAAGCCACACACACGAGGAAGTAACAACAGTCAAACGCACATCACTAGTGTGTGTGTGTGTGCAATCAAAGGCCCGTGGCTCTCATGAGGGAACATCACAGGGGAATATTAGCACTTTTCTCAAAGAGCAAGAGTGAAAGTGTGATTTTACACGAAGGCTTTCGCAACTAATATTATTCATAATAAAGCTTTTTGGGTTTGATCGCGCAAGTATGTGTCGTAACACTCCATCACCCGACACAGCCAGTAAAGGTTTGTCACGTAAACAAAATGCACCAATGAGTTACTACTTCAGCCTATTCTGGCAAATCGCCCGATGATGCTGGATGTAATTACCAGTGAAACGTCGTATTCAAATTGTACATTTTGTGGATTTACTCTCAAAATACACCGGCGGGCTGCACGTGACAAACCTTCCTGCCTCTGTCGGGTGGTGGAGGGTTACGACACATTTATACTTACGCGAACTAACCCAAAAACCTTTCATACGAGTAAAAGTATGATCTCCAACTACAAGTCAGCCAGCTTCTCGGTCTCGGTCTCTCTCTCTGCTCCGAATAACATCCACAGACCAAAACGTCGGCCCGATAAATGTCCAAGAGCTTCGCCTTATGACCAAAATTACCGGGAATCAACCAATCTCATCAGATCCCATAAGCTAAGCAGGTCACCACGGGTCTGGATGTCGCTTCGACGGATGATGTCCATTCGCCATGCACACCAGGAAATCGCAGGTGGCTTGCGGAGCAATGCTATGTGGTCAGAAGCAGAGGGTGAGTGCAACTAGAATGGGTGTTGTACTATACGTCAATGTTCCCAAGTCTATAGGATCCGCCGTGGTCCGTGTTCAAACAACCCCCCCCCCAATCCCGACACGAGGGTTTGGAGGCCTTCGTCTAGAAATGAACACACCGATTGTACGATTATAAGGACTATAGGGCAGTGTTAATGCCAATCGTTTAAGGTGACATCCTATTCGTTTAACATTATCAACTGATGATGATTGCCTGTGTTGCAATCGAAACGTCGTATGCTATTATTTAACTTATTATTTTATCTTTATACGTGACTTTACCGAAAGAACCATAGAATAATTCCTGCAGTCACGAAAGCTCCAAAATTAAGATTATCAACTGGGTTTATTTCAAGTGGGCAAAGTGTCGTTTTAATGGGTGACAAAAGGGGAATCCCTGACCCCAACTCAACCTCTGAACCCGGCAGCGCTGAGCAGTGAAGTTCAATCTCGGGTCACGGGCTCTCAATGCGAGCCCTCTAATGGTAAATAAGCTTATTATCTCATCACAATTACCCTCGTCCGTGTAACAACAACAACTATTAGGACACAAACCACAGTGCAATCATTGCTGCTGCTGCAGAGGTTAAACGACTCGTGATGTCAACAACAACAACCATCATCATATTCCAATCACCACGAATATCCATTGCAGCGTTGTATCGATTACTGTATATCGTTGCGTTCACGTACAATTATTATAAAAACAAACGTTATTAAGGTACATTTTTTAATGACGTGACCGGGTAGACGTTTCGGCCAACCGACCTACGGCAGCGAGGATATCCCACGACAATCGTCGATAACGAGACAATTAAAACAAGGTCCAGCAGGGGGGGGTCTGGGTGTTAGATCGCATAATTGTGTGTCGTTAAACCCTCCACCACTCGACGCGGCCAATTACATTATCAAAGGTTCGTCACGTAAACGAAACGTGCCAATTGCTTAGCAGCAGCAGCACAACAACAACAACAGCAACAACAACAACAACAACGACAACACCGGGCTGGTGCGTTGGGAGAGTTTAAAACAAAAAAAAACAATTCCGATGTACGACGTTTCGCCGATTAAAACACGAGCCCTCATTCGTGACACACACACACACGTGCACTAATCGGGGAACGACGGCCGCTCAATGCGAGAGAGACAACACGAACGCCAAGAGGGTTTTAGACGTAATGATGAGAGAGAGAGGGGGGTAAAGTGAGATGAAACTCACGGACTCGATTCCGTCTCATGACGGACGAAGAAGAAGGAGTAGGAGGAGGAGACGGCGCCGCACAATCACCAATCTCTAGCCGGGTGTAAGGAGCCATTCATTTAAAGACACGTTTTAATAAAAAAACAAACTCAAATGTATTATCATTTGCTTTCTATAGCGAGGAAGACAAACGGGCCACCGTCACTACCGCCACCACCCTTCTACATCCATCGACCCAACACCGACAACAACAAACGACGCATTAGTCGGCTGCTTAGCGATGTCAATGGCAAAACAGTCGCATGTTTTAACGCAGAATTAATGAAGACGCGGGGAGGTGAGGGGCGGGGCTGTTGCGGGGGGAGGCGGAGCCAATGGGAGGAGGGGAGAGCCGAGGCCACGCCCCCTTTCTCTGGCCGCCCTTCCCCCTCTATAGGCCCCGCCCCTCGCGCTACATCCCATAGCGCGGATTGACACGGACCGCCGTGTCGCCGTATCCCATTGGGCAATGGGCAGCCACGTGACGCCGCCAGGGCCAATGAGAGCCGCCGTAACATCGAGGGCGGCCGAACAGCTGTAGGGATTTCGCGGCGCGCGGATTTTTTAAATTATTATTATTAAATACCGCGAGCGAGCCGCAATGTGCTGGCTGCTGCTGCTGTTTGGCCCCCGCCGTGTTTTTATTTCTTTTTTTAAATATTTTTTTCCCTCACAAACACACACACACATCGCGCCCCCCCACTCATCATCGCACAACAAACAAAAACAACACGGGAGCTTAAATTAAACACGACGTACGAGTGAAAGCATCGGCAACGTGCCCTTGAAAAAATTCTATATACGTGCTAAATGTAAAAAGTGAGAAACGTGGTGCGATGCGCGGGCAATGCGAGCGAGGAGGAGGCGGGAGGGACAGAGGGAGGGAGGTGGGTTCCTACCGGAGCCATTTTAAAACGACGAGGCGAAATGGCGGCACCTCCCCGCCGCGTCACCTTCCACATTCCCCAGCGCGGATAGGCCCCGCGCACCCACCTCGCCATTGGCCAGAGGGCGCATCACGTGGGGGGTGGCGCGCCGGGCCAATGGCGTTGGAGCGGAGTGCGTCCACGGCGGGCGCGAGCGCGGTGGGAAATTCAAAGGCGGGGAGGAGCTACCTAGGCCACACCCCCCCCTTCCCCTCCCCTCATTAGCATATGAGATTTTCGCGGTTGTTTGCGGGGCCCCCCGCCGCCCATTGGCTCATCGGGGGTGGAGCCCCGCTCAGACTCCGCCCACTTGCTATTGGCCCCGCCCACTTGCTACTTAGCCCCGCCTACTTCCTGTTTGGCCCGCCCACTTACTACTTAGCCCCGCCTACTTGTTACTTGGCCCCGCCCACTTGCTACTTAGCCCCGCCCACTTGCTACTTAGCCCCGCCTACTTGCTACTTTGACCACACCCACTCGCTATTGGCCCCGCCCACTTGTTACTTAGCCACGCCTACTTGCTATTTGGCCACACCCACTCGCTATTGGCCCCGCCCACTTGCTACTTAGCCACGCCTACTTGCTATTTGGCCACACCCACTCGCTGCGTGGCCCGCCCACTTGCTATTGGCCCCGCCTACTTGCTACTTAGCCCCGCCTACTTGCTGTTTGGCCCGCCCACTTACTACTTAGCCCCGCCTACTTGTTACTTGGCCCCGCCCACTTGCTACTTAGCCCCGCTTGCTACTTGGCCACACCCACTCGCTGCGTGGCCCCGCCCACTTACTACTTTGCCCCGCCTACTCGCTACTCGACCACGCCCACTTGCTACTTAGCCCCGCCCACTTGCTATTGGCCCCGCCCACTTACTACTTTGCCCCGCCTACTCGCTACTCGACCACGCCCATTTGCTACTTAGCCCCGCCCACTTGCTATTGGTCCCGCCCACTTACTACTTAGCCCCGCCTACTTGCTACTTTGACCACACCCACTTGCTATTGGCCCCGCCCACTTGCTACTTAGCCCCGCCCACTTGCTACTTAGCCCCGCCTACTTGCTACTTGGCCCCGCCCATTGACTCCACCCACCACTCACACAGAACACTCAATAACGTTTGTCAACAACACTTGGCATTCAAAATATACAAAAGGCGGGTAAGCCAAACACGTCTCCCATCTGTTACCACATTTAATCGCATTCCACTTGTCGGTAATTGTATAAAGTCGACGTTTCGAGCTAAATGGCTTTAACTATGTACAGTCATTGCCCGAAACGTCACCTATGATCCACTTTTCTATTCCAGGCCACGTGTTATTGAACAAACAGGATGGTTTCTCCACGTATCTGGCTGTCGCCTGATGATGCTGGTTGTACTTAGTGGCGAAACGTCGAACTCATTGTAAATGCGGTGGATTCACTCTCCAACACAACCGGTGTGCTGAACTAGTAACGAATTGGCACCTTTTTTTTTTAAAGTGACAAACCTTATTAATTGGCCGTGTCGGGTGGTGACGGGTTTAACGACACATATACTTACGTGATCTAACACCCCCCCCCGTCCCCTCTATTAGTTTCAGCAATGTGGCACATGTGGAAGATGCGGACATTATATGCACAAATGGATCATTAAAAGACCGTCTCCCTCCTGCCTGTGTGCCGCTGAGCCTACAAACTCCAAACCACGTACTGCCCCATAATTGGGGCCGTCCATAAATGACGTCACGCGATTTTGGACGATTTTTGACCCCCCACCCCTCCTCGTCACACGACGTCACAAAAAGTCAATATGACGTCACAAAGCTCTGCCCCCCCCCCCCCAATTTGAAAATAAAACATGCTTCAAATCGCTTAAAACTATTGTCATTGTAGTGCGTATTTAATGTGGCGCTGCACTCTGATGTTTTTAGGAGAAAACATTTATTAAAAAGTCTATTTAATTAAGTAAAACATGTTGTCTATACTTATTTCAAGTTGCGAATTTTGATGTGACGTCACATTTCTCACTCCCCCCCCTCGTCAGACATCGTCACAAATGTCTGACCCCCTCCTCCCCTAGGTGCGTGACGTCATTTATGGACGGCCCCTATAAACACTCACAGACGGCGAGTCGGTTGAGTGTGTGGGTGAGCGGTCAGCGCGCTGCGACCCTATTATCTGAACCGGTACCTGGGCCTCCCCTAGGTCGACTCAGCCTCAAATGAGGACCTGGTGTAAACATCGCCACTGGGGAGACAAAGGCGGCCGGGCGTGGTGCTGGCCACCCACCACCTCGTGTGCCGTGCCGGCCTTCATAGGTGCTCGCTAACCGCACTTGCCCCAACAGTCTGTTAAGGCTACACGGGGGGTCTTTATCTTTGTGTGGGTGAGGTATTAAAAAATTAACCCGTAAAAACAAAGTTTTTCACTATAAATCCTTTATATGCGTGGCATCGGGGCGGCTAGAGTCCTCTCGTCCTCTGGCTTGAGATGGCTGCCACCTATGGGTCAGATGATTGCATTGCACCATTAAGCAATTGGTAATTAAATATAATATTTTTGTCCTAAAAAGTGTAAAATTTTGGAAAAAAATTTTCACGAACATTAATTGTCACGCACAACGAGTCTGTGTGGAAAATGTCAGCTCGACTGGATCACGGGAAGTGGGTTAAAAAACGACCGAAAGATTTGCACGGTCCTAAGCAAGCAAGCGAACTTAATATAAAGAATTAAAAAATAGTCTCAGGATGCTGATCCACAACGGCCTCCTCTTGTGAGCGTCAAGTCCATTGTATAGCAGCGAGTTTCTTTATGGCTGATCCACCCATAGTATTAATCGGGGCAGCCGCTGTAGTCGAACCGTGACCCTCTGCAGAAAGATTTAATTTTGAAGGGGAAAAAAAAACCCCATCGTGCTGGGTGCTTTCTTGAATCCATCTGTGCGGACTGCCATCTGCTGGATCACCGTTGCCAACGCAGGAGCAGGAGTAAATAACACATTCCTGCGGAGGGAGCTGGTAGGAACGTTGGGTTGCTCGGTCAATGGCCAGGCTCAACGGCGGCGTGGTGTATTCCGCAAATATGCCCGACTGTGAGGGTGGGCACAATCCGGCGTGAGTAGGTTAAACGTTGAGTTTTATAAGGGCACCACGGGGTGACCAGCCCCTCCCCACCCAGCCCCCACCCAGCCCCACCCTCCCCACCCAGCCCCTCCCCATCCTCCCCACCCAGCTCCTCCCCACCCTCCCCTCCCATCCAGCCCCTCCCCACCCAGCCCCACCCTCCCCACCCTCCCCACCCAGCCCCTCCCCATCCTCCCCACCCAGCCCCTCCCCACCCTCCCCTCCCCATCCAGCCCCTCCCCACCCAGCCCCACCCCTCCCTCCCACCCCCCACCCAGCCCCACCCTCCCCACCCAGCCCCTCCCCATCCTCCCCACCCAGCCCCTCCCCTCCCCACCCAGCCCCTCCCTGCACGACGGACACAATAATCTCCTGTGGGCTGGTGTAACCAGGAGGTTCCTACCAGTATCACCACCACCACCACCAAGTAATCGTGCGATATTAGGAATGATGTGTGCCTGAGTAGCTCAGAACCTAGCTGGGTAACTGGACGCAAAGTGATTTTCCGTGTGACAAGTAACATTGAGTGGTTGCATTGAAACGATGGAAGTTAGAATTGTATTCTTAAATTTCTAGAGAATATAAGAAAATAATGTAATGCATATTATCTTGCCACTGTATTGCATAAACATCAGATAACGAATAATCTCACAAGAATCGAAAGCAATTGATTCTGTACGCACGAACAATTAATATACAATGCAACCCCATGGCTGCATTGGTGAGTGTGAATGTACTAATCATTGCACTGCGTTTCTTTAATTTGTCAGTTATTATTTTCAATACAATACGGTATAAAATATTAAATTATTGTCAACATAAATTGTCTTTGTTTATAATATGAACTAAACGTCATTAATTGTTTAGAGTATGAGATGGTAAGTTACGAAGGCTTGGGGAAACGCTTCCTCATCGTACAAATGTTTCAGTTTTTCAGTTCCGCATACGAAGAAGGTTCAATGCACGAAGACGCTCCAGGCAGGAACGCATCTCTGTCGTATATCGAGGAACACGATGTGTGTCGTCGGCCTAGAGATTAATCTCCCCCCCACTATCCTCCCACAACCCCCACTACCCCCCACCGCCCCCCCACTATCTCCTCACAACCCCCCCCACTATCCCCCACACCCCCCCCCACTATCCCCCCACCGCCCCCCCCCACTATCCCCCACCGTCCCCCCACTATCCCCCCACCGCCCCCCCCCCCACTATCCCCCACCGTCCCCCCACTATCCCACCACCGCCCCCCACTATCTCCCCACAACCCCCCCCACTCCCCTCACCGCCCCCCCCCCCACTATCTCCCACCAACTCTCTCCCCACACCCCCCCCACTACCCTCACCGCCCCCCCCCCCACTATCCCACCACCGCCCCCCACTATCTCCCCACAACTCCCCACTACCCCCACTGCCCCGCACTATCCCCCCACCACTATTTCCCCACACCCCCCCCCCCACTAACCCCCCACCGCCCCCCCCCCCCCCACTATCCCCCACCGTCCCCCCCCCCACTATCCCCCACCGCCCCCCCCCCCACTATCCCCCACCGTCCCCCCACTATCCCACCACCGCCCCCCACTATCTCCCCACAACCCCCCCACTCCCCTCACCGCCCCGCACTATCCCCCCCCCCCACTATCTCCCCACACCCCCCCCCCCCACTACCCCTCACCCCCCACTATCCCACCACCGCCCCCCACTATCTCCCCACAACTCCCCACTACCCCCCACTGCCCCGCACTATCCCCCCACCACCGCCCCCCACTATCTCCCCCCCCCCCCACTATCCCACCACCGCCCCCCCACTACCCCCCCCCCCCCCACTATCCCCCACCGCCCCCCACTAATCCCCCACCTCCCTCCCTTTGGTAACCGCCGCACGTGACTGCCCCTAGCGACCACTGATTCCCCCTCACCCACAATGCAACGCGTCCCACCACTGCAAAGATGGCTGCGCCCAGGGCGTACACGGCCACGCTCTCCAGGCTGCCTGCAGGTGCGGAACTTCTGACTCCCCCTTCGCTTCCCACGGGAACCTGACCCAGGCTCCAACCCTATAGCTTGCTCCCCCCCTTCCCCCTTAGCGTCCTAACCCCAATGCTCCCCCTCCTCCTTCGCCCGCTCTCATCTCACCGCCAATCATGCCCCGGTGACCTCGGCTCGCGATAGACCTTGGCGTGCACGGCGCTGACTGACTGGGTTTGTTGTGATTGTGGCTGTCAGTGTTGTATTGTTTAATAACCACTTGGTGGGGTGGGGGGTGAAGAGCAACGGTGGTTCTATGAGGAGACTTGCCCCCCACCTCCCTCCTCCGCCATATGAATGTGGAATGTTCAGCACTGCCTCTGCAGGTGTTGTAAACAGATGAGTGCCGTTGCTTCGCTTGGATTTTCCTGCGGTAGTTCGTGTCATCGTCGCTGCGTTAAGGCTGCTGGGCGAAGTGCCCTAGCTGCCGTCATTGCTTTCGTCTTGCCGGTGCGCCCGGTGAATCTGCCGTTCACCTCAGTCGGGTCAACCCGTGGCACCAGGGGCTGTCCCGTCACCTCCTGTCAGCGAGACTTTTTTTACACGCTTTCTTTAAACTCACTCTGTCTTGTAACTCAAATTTTACCCACTTCCTAATGTGGTATCGACTGCAAACTTGGTATACTTATGTCATACTGATGACAATACTATATTCTATCATAAAAAATATATTTTTAAACGTTATTTTTTATATGTTATGTTTCGGCTTGGGTCTAATTGTCCACGGTAAGCTGACGTTGGCTGTAATTGGCCACGGTCCCTTACGTTATGGCAAGCTTCGGGCCACTTCCTGCAGTCGTAGAGTTCTTAAATGACTAGTACGGTACATTTCATAAAAGCGTGTTTTTAAAAAACGTTTTCTTTAAATATTACTTGTTTTTTTGACACTTTCACGTGTGGCCCTCACGATGCACCTTTCAGCCTGGTGACGTCTCCGTCACTGGGTGGCGAGCGGCGCTTTGGATTTTTTGGGGCAATCGGGATTATGTAAGGCACCCATCGCCGCCCGACTGCGAAAATTGGCAGGTCCCTCCTGAAAAAGATTCCAGAGACTCGGTGATGGATACACACCGTCGTCATTACAATACCTATGGATGTATGTTGGACTTATTTCGCACCGCACCTAGCCAACCTTGCTAATGCAGTACCTAATTCCATCACTATCCAAAGTATTCAACCGGACGCTAGCCATGATCCATCAGCCCTCAGTACACTACCCCCCTCCACCCCCATCTCTGGTGCTGAACCCCCCATTTCGCCGTGCGGTTAGTTTTCACGTTTGACGTTCACACGACGTCCGCTGTTGTTTCAGGCATGGCGCTGTTCAAGTCCTTGCACGTGCGACTGCGAGCAGATCAGCTGGTGAGTTCCGTGCAGCATCAATTTACTCAAGCGACTCAGCGGTTGAACTTTAAAAATAAAAAAAAGTCCAATCTAATCCTGATTGTGCCATCGGTGTCATGCGTTGAGACGAACTCTCAATTCGGAAACTCTTGCAGCGCAACCGGCCTATGTTGCAGTATGGACCGTGGAAGTTAATACCACATAACTACGTCTCCACACAGCAGAAGAACAGAACTTGACCAACAGCGCCGCCACTGAGAGTAATGTTCATCGCATGACAGACAGAGTGATATTTCTAAGTCTCATAGCATTGCACGTGATTGCAACGCAGAACCGAATATGATGCGATGGGTTTATTTTTCCAGTCATTGGTGACGGGCTCCACACTTGAGAGTCCGGTTTAATTGCAAGCGTTTGCAGCCTGTATATTAACCCGGTGGTGACATGGCCAAGTAGTAGCGCATTCACAGCTTGTTGCAGAGGTTCACGGTTCGAATCCAGTGGCCGCCCTGATTAATGCTGCGGTGTGTAATAACCGGAAGTGTATTTCGTGCCATCTGCTTCGCTCACAGCAGACGGTAAAGATCCCGTGACGTCACAAACAAGAGTTGGCCACCGGTGCCAGAGTCCAAACTTGCCGAATTGGAAAGTTACCCTGAAGTTACCCTTAAGTTACTCAACTGGGATTTTACACACATGTAGCAGCAATCATCACCCTCCTACTCGCATAACAATGCCTCAGGGTCACTCTACCAAATGAGACTCATCCTTAATACAGGTTTTTTTTTGGTCGTTAAACCTGCCACCACCTGACACAGCCAATTAGAAAGGCTTGTCACGTAAAGAGAACAGGGCGATGTGTTACTAGTTCAGCACACTGGTGTGTTGGAGAGTAAATCCACAAAAAAACCTGTATTATGGATAATATTGGTCGTGAAAGCCTGCGTGTTAAACTGAGACCAGAGGTCGCAATCGGGTACCCGATACCCGTAACCTACCCGATACCCGGCCACCCGTACCCGGCCGGGTACGGGTACCCGTTTGCGACCTTGGTGCGGCCGGGTACGGGTAGGCCGTGAGTCACTGGTGAGTAACTGTTTGTCACTCATTTCCCAACGTCTTGTCTCTTCTCACAATTCAAGTTCCTAGAATCAACCCACCCGCGCCTGCAACATGGCTTCATCCCAGAGGTCGCTATCGGATACCCGTACCCGATACGCGGGTAGGGTACGGGTACCCGTACCCGGCCGGGTACGGGTACCCGTTTGCGACCCTGGTACGGCCGGGTACGGGTAAGGAATCAAAACCCGTTTGCGACCTCTGACTGAGACTCATGCTGCTCTCTTGGGCCCTCACCTGGTTAGACACAACACATTTTTACTTAAAACTTAACCAACCCAGGATCTCAGCGGTGCCGGCTCAGCACGATCACCTCTGAGCCACCTGGCCTGACCTAATGATTTAACTTTTAATATACAGCAGGTTAAATTTCGATTTAAAGCTTTCATGACTGCAGGGATTCATCTTCTTGGTTCTTTCGGTAAAGTCACGTAGAAGAAACAGAGCTGTCTCTCCGACAGCTCTGTTTCTTCACCTGAGGACGGCTGCTTGTGTTGTGACCGATGCGTCGTGAGAATTTTAATTTTATGATGTTTTATATTATTTTATTATTTCCCTTCTACGTGACTTTACCGAAAGAACCAAGAAGATACAGCAGGTTATTGAGACAAGAGTCTCCTTGTCCAGGGAGACCCGTGCTGCCCTTCCGACAAATCCGTTGACCAAGCATGCATAATCCCGGGTACCGATTGGTTGTCTGCGGAGCGTTGGCGCAGTGGTTAGCACATGACCTGGCTGCACAAGTTCGATTCTCGGCCATGGCCAGCATCCGTGGCGAGTGGCATCTGAAGCAGGCCCGGAAGTTGCCTCCTCTTGACCAGCACGCGCTGAGCGGCGTGGTGACGTATGGGAAGGCCTCTATCTATCTAGCTGTGGATTGGGATGGCCTGGGAAGGTATTTCATGCAGCGGTGGAGTTACAAATTTAGAGCTGGGTTTAAAATTGATACATCAGACAGCAGCGGCCAAATCGGCGTAATTTTTATTTATTATCATTTAGGATATAAAAATCAAAACACTGAAATTTAACAAACGATTACGGTGCGTAACAATACAAAACGGGCAACGGCTTGCATCGTAATATAAAGCCAGAGCAGCACAACAAGGAAATGACAGAACAATTCGTCACGATTTAATACAGTTACAACTAATATAAATACACATCTGGAGCAATATGTGTCGTTATTCTTGTTGAGTTAGTTGTAACAATCAGGGCCGCGGTTTGACTTCAAATATATATTTTTTTTGTTTCACGCTGTGGTGAACGTATCGCTGAGGGTGAATCGTAATCGCAGCCGTGGCTTCCAAATTTTCGAACAGGAACAAAATATCGTTTGAAAAAGATTAGAAACTGATCTAAATGCTGGAGTAGTGATGGGGGAGGGATGTTGTTGGGGGGGAGGGGGGCGATATACTTGAATAAAACGAGACGCATGAGTGGCCGTGGAGAAAATAAATAAATAAAAGAAATTCAAAATAGATGACAAAGAGGCCGCTTATTTTAATCCCATACTGATTCTGGTGCCTGGCATTGTAAAGCCGCACCTCTGGGGAGAAGGGCCCTTTAATCTGCCCCCCGCACCACGGCGCTACGGCCCGGAGAAGCCAATTACGACGCTGGCCGCTCGCGCGCAAAGGTGGCCCCGGTTGATAGGGCCTCTCGGGTGGTCAAGCCGGGCCCCGGCACCAGAAAAGTGCGCACGCCATCAAACTGATCGTTTGGCTTTAAAAGGACGCTGCTTGCCACGGCGGGTTGACGGTGTTCGCCGGTTCGATTCCATCTTCCCGGCCAAAGTGGGCGGTTGAAACAACGGGGGCAATTTGCCCGTAAAAAATATGATAATTCTTCTTGGTTCTTTCGGTAAAGTCACGTAGAAGGGAAGTAATAAAATAATAAAAATAAAACATATGTTTTATTTTTATTAGTTTTATTTTTATTATTTTATTTTTTCCCTTCTACGTGACTTTACCGAAAGAACCAAGAAGATGAATCCCTGCAGTCACGAAAGCTTTAAATCGAAATATGATAATTGTTTTTTTACCCTTCTATCTGGAAACAAAACTGACACCTTTTTTTACAACTTCAATGACAGTGCATACATTATCAGAGTTATGTTTTTTGTTTGCATTATGACTGCAGGTATTGTGGTCTATGCAAACATGACTCCTTGTAAAAAAAGGTGTCAGTTTTGTTGCCAGATAGAAGGGTAAAAAACCAATTATCAACGGGGGCAATTTTCTTAAATCACCCCCAACCTCTCCCGTCGATGCCTCTGTCCGCTAGAAGTATAAATGTTCGCACCACAGTCGATCGGTAGGTCGCGTGCAGTGCCGTAAACTGGACTTGCGATTGAAGGGATCTCGGCGGAAGCTCGGTGATATCCACGTTCTCTAACCTGAGGGGTTTGTGCTGCTCTGTGAAATTTTATTCTTGCGTGTGATGGCAGCAGCAGCAGCAGCAATGTGTTCAGTATCTCGATGCCAATGTCGAGCTCTGCCGGCCACGACGAGAGGGCTTCGGCAGAGATAATGTTCGTGCAGTTTTGCTGGTCCTCCGTTGAAAGAGCGCAGACTACAGTGGCATACTATACGGTCCGTAGACTAACATTGCCCTGAGACTAACATTGCCCAGAGACTAACATTGCCCATAGATTAACATTGCCCATAAGCTAATATTGCTCATAGACTAAAATTGCCCATGCTGACATTGCACAGAGACTAACATTGCCCATAGACTAACATTGCCCATAGACTAACATTGCCCAGAGACTAACATTGCCCATAGATTAACATTGCCCATAAGCTAATATTGCTCATAGACTAAAATTGCCCATGCTGACATTGCACAGAGACTAACATTGCCCATAGACTAACATTGCCCATAGACTAACATTGCCCAGAGACTAACATTGCCCATAGATTAACATTGCCCATAAGCTAATATTGCTCATAGACTAAAATTGCCCATGCTGACATTGCACAGAGACTAACATTGCCCAGAGACTAACATTGCCCATAGGCTAACATTGCTCATAGACTAAAATTGCCCATAGACTAGCATTGCCCATAGACTAGCATTGCCCATAGACTAACATTGCCCATAGACTAACATTGCCCATAGACTAACATTGCCCATAGACTAACATTGCCCATAGAAAGTTTAACACGTCATACTGAGATTGTAAATGTTGTGGCTTGGCTCTCCAACACACCGGTTAGTGCTGTACTAGTATACTACACTATACACTACTATACACTACTATACACTATACACTATGCTATACACTACTATACACTACACTATACACTACACTACACACTAGTGCTGTACTAGTGATGAATTGGCATGTTCTGTTTACGTGACAACCCTTACTAGTTGGCTGTGTCGGGTGGTGGCGGGTTTTAACGACACATAATTACGCGATCTAACCCAAAACCTCTCTTATGGATTTCCCATAGACTAACATTTCCCATCAACTAAAATTGCCCATAGACTAATGATTTTACAAACGGTCCATGAAGAGCCGAGCGAACTCTTGCTCTCCATGACGCCGATAGCAGCGCGGGATAAAACCAGGATTTTATTTTACTCAATTTACGAACAGCTACGGAGACTCGGGAAGGAGCACAAAGTGGACCCCCGGTGCCGAGACCGGCGCCTTGCAGTGCCGTTGTTGTCGTGATCCGGCAACGTCCGTGGGGGGGGGGGGGGGGGGGGGGGGGGGGTTTGCAGGGAGGGGGGTGCCCAGGGCAGGGGGGTGCCCGGGCAAAAACTTGGTGACGAGTGGCGCTGCTAATGAATCGCCGGAGTCCACGGGGAGCTCTGGGAAATCTGCGCGAGCGTCCGAGCGCTCGGGGAGACGCGGCTGGTGGGGGGGGGGGCGGGGGCGGAGGGCAACC